GTGAGAGAGACAGCTTTATTTACCGCTACACCGGCTACGTCTGCTGCTTCTTACTCACATGTGTCTACGTTTTTTTTTTAACATTCCTGAATAGGTTTTTTCTTCTTAGAGCACGTTTTCCAATTAAAATTACAGGAAAATTTTTTCACCAGTTGTTATATTAGATGTTGTTGTTTTTTCATTCTTACCTGTCACTAGCGAAACGAAAACTTCCAAAAAAATGTTATTTTGTAAGTAATCCAGAGCATGTGTGTGAGTGAGACAACGAGACAAAGAGGGAGAGAGCGTAAGGAGAGAGCGAAATCCTGGCTCTTGTTGATCCTTTTGTGTTATTGCTTTTGTTGTTTTTTTTTTTCTTATCGTTGTTGGTGTGATTTTGTTGTTGTTGCAGGTCAAAACAACAGGTAAACAGAAAAAATAGAAAAAACGGAACCAAAACAAAAAAGGCGAAACAGACAAAAAGAAGGGGAAAAAACACAAGAACTAAAAAAAAAAAATTATTTTATAAGAAAACTGAGCACAAAATAATTTTTTTTTTGGTGGCACTTGAAAAAAAATAATTAAGTGGTTTTTAAGGTTTAATACGATTAGTTTAGAACGCACGTTATGTTAGCTTTTGTTGTTGTTGTTGTAAATATTAAATATAATTTAAAAAAATTATATTTCTAATTTGTTTTTGTAATTTGTTTCGTTTTTTTAAGCCGCGTTTAAGCCGCGTTTTTCGAACTGCGACGGCGCGACTTTGGAAACCAAATGAAAAATCCCAGAGAGAGAAAAATCCAAATCGTAGCTAAAAGGTACCGCAATATTTGGCTCTCTTGGCCATCTTTCTCTCTCTCTCGCTCTTACCAGGTGAGAATCTGGCTTGCCCTCACCCGTACTCTCTACTAGCCCGGGTTCTCTCGCTCTCTCTTTATGTGCGAGACACGTATGTTGTTTAAGTCTTTTGATTTTTATGTTGTTCTTGTTCTTGTGCTGCGTTGGCGCAACTGAGTGAGCGGGCAAGAAGAGGATAGAGAGACAGGGCCAGCCAAAGGCAGTTGATTTTCAGGTGTGGCAACCGGCAAAATCACAAAAAAAAAGTTTAAAAAAAAGAATAATAAAAAAAAATTGGTTAATAAATACAAAGAGAGTGCGAGCGAGATGTAACATCATTATGATCTTTGAAGAACTTAATGAGAACATTTTTACATATTTTTGATTTTAAAGAAGATTTTTTATCTTATTTTGCATAGGGATCTAAGGAAATACATATATATGTATATAAGATATAGTTTTAGATTTTAACTAGATATTCTGGTAAAAATAGCTATTATATCAATTAAAACTCACATCCTTTAAGGTTTTTAAAGAGAGTTATTAAGTTTTTTACCTCTTTTAATGAAAATTAAACCTGATAAGCTTCAGAATAAATCTTCAAGCCTTGGAGCTTAATAACTCTAAGAACATTTAAAGATTTTCTTTATAAAATATTCAAGTTTCTTTTTTGAATAATATATATCATTTTTGTTAAGAAACTGTCAACATTTTTAACAAAATTGACTTGTTAGATTTTTAGATTGTAGATTTGAGTTAGATTTGTTGTAGATTTGTTGTTAAATTTGTTGTAGATTTGTAAGACATTTGAAGCGCATGGCATGGATTCTTGGCTCTGTTCTTTTGCTTTCCATTGCTGTTCTGTTCTTTACCATCTCGCTCTCTCTTATTCTGTGTTGAAAATCGGGTCGCTGCTTAGTTATTCCATACAGGTGAGTGTATATGTGTGTGGACAAACAGGTATCACACACACATACACACACACACACCTTAAAACACAGACTTGAAGAAACCGTCATCATCGTCTAAGCCAAGTTGGCTCTTTTCACCTTTCCTTTTGGCCATTAAATTCCGCTCTGGCTACCACTCTCTCCCACTACCACAGTCTTTCTTTCTTTCTTTCTCCCTCTCTCTCTCTAAAAGTGGGAGTACAAGTAGGGGGGAGAGAGTTAAAAAGAAAGAGCGAGATGGTGAATGTCGCAAGTAGCCGAGATTCGATTCCCGACTACCTTTTTGTGCCCGCTTCCTAATCCATTAACTTGTTCTCTCTCTCTACCATTCTTTCTCCTACTACTTTTCTTTCTCTTCTTCTTCTTCTAGTTCTTTTTCTTGTTGGATGGGTTCTGGTAATTCTCTGATTTTTTTTTTGTTTTTTTTTCTTCTTCTACCAATAAATGATGACGACGCACTCTACGATCTAAAAAAAAAAGAAGAAATATCACGAAATATTCTACTTTGATATCTTAAAGATTTTTTTTCATTTTTTTTTTATTGGGTATTCAATCAATCAAAATCCTAAACTAACAGATCAATCTTTGCAATGATGAATGGCCTAGAATATATGAATAAATCAGAGAAAGAAGTGATATCTTTGTAGGTCTTTTATAGAAAAACTACTTTAAAACTAACTATAGAACATTTTAAATCAATTTTCCATAAGTCTGAGTTTTGTAATGTCTAAGATGCTTTTTGGAATTTTTGAAGTTTTCTTAAAAAAAAATCGTAAGCCACTTAGCCCCTAAACCACTTTCCACTTAGCCACTTAATTTTTGCTAAGATTTGAGTCTGATCTTTTGAGAGCATAAAGTCTTTAGTAAAGTAATATTTTGGAAGTATGTAAAACTTCTGAAGCTTTTTTCCCAGATTTATAGAATAGAAAATTATAGATTATTATAGATAGAAAATTAATAGTAATTTTCCAGAAACCTGCAGAATTTCTATTCATAAATTGATAACCAATTTCATTGACAGTTTTTGCCTGTTTTTGATACTCTGCAAGAGGGTACTATAATTAAAAAATAATAATAAAAATATTGCCTACATACTTATGTATGTATTAACTTATGTACTTATTAACTTTAAAAAAATCATAATTCAGCTTTCTTAGAATTTTTACAATTGTCTTATAGTTTTTATAAAAGAACACTCCACTCTTCTGATATTTGGAATAGGGTATATAATTTTTTTTTTTGCCACGCTCAACGATCAGCGGCGACAACAATTTAGAAAATTAGTTGCACACTTGACAAAACTCGTTCCATTGGCTTTCTAACCGGCAATGAGGCAAGCAGATCATCGAATCGAATCGTATCGTATCGAATTGTATAGGATTGTATAGCTCTACTCTATATAGCACTCTGTATAAGCAATACTCTCCCATTACAATTGCATCTGCATATGTGGCATGCAATTGGATCTGCCTGGTATATTCCAGATTTGCCATTCGAGGCGACTTTTTTTTTGTGTTTTGTGGCACATGCACTGTGGTGGTAGCTAGGTAGAGGAGCTATAGTGTGTTCAGTCAGCGAAAAGTGGAGAAAAGCTTTGCAACTCAACGAGTAATGTAGAGAATTCTCGAAGGTGGGGTAAGGGGTAGCTTGGTAACCGGTAACCGGTTGAATTGGGTGTTATAAGTAGACCGTCTACTAGTTAGCATGTTAAAATACAAAAAATTTCTATGCAAAAATATGTACACACTAACGGTAAAGGGTTTTGATATTTTATTTTTGATTTATAAAAAATCGATTGAACATTCTAGTATATTTTTAAATAGTTTAAATAATAAACACATTTACAGAGATTTTTGAACATGCAGTATTTTTTAAACATAGCTCTCGATCATTTAGTTTCAAAAATGCTAGAAAATTTTTACTGACAGTCTTAAAGCCGCTAGAAATTTCAAGAATCTACAACGCTTTTCTACAACGCTCGTCACTATTTTATAACTTGCTGATATATTTTAAAATTCCTTTCAGAAGCTTAGTTTCACAATAAGACATTTTTCACAAATTTTCGGAATATTTTAAGAATTCTTATTGGCTAATAATATAAAGAATATCTATCCAAAAATTATTCCATTTGATGTTTCAATTTTCCAACGAAATTATCATGTTCACATTTCTGAGTAATTTTCCAAAAATTCTGACTGCCTTTAGCCTTTTTGGCTACTTTGTCCACTATTTTTGGACATTATCCCGGCTAAGCAAATTTGTTGCCAAAGTGGAAAAGTTTTTTTTTATTCTGTAGCTTTTGTGGCAAATATATAAATTTGTGAAATTGTCAGTGCCACAAGCAGAGATGATTTACCGCCCTGGGGGTTCCTCAGCCAGCGACTCATTTATCAAAAAAAAAAAAACAAAAAAAACCGAAAATGAAGAGAATTCTAAGTTACTTTGGTAGTCTGAAGAGGAGGACAAGGCGGTGGAGGTGTGGAGTTTTGAGGGGAAACTTTCACCGGCGGGAGCAGAAAACTGAAAACACTAAAAACGGAAAACAGTTTCGAGTCACACTTGAGAATGTCTGGACGCAGCAAATCATTTGTTGGCTTTTATCCTGCCAACTTGGCCTCAGGAGGGAAGGAGGTCATAAACAAATGCCCAAAAATTTGTTTCTTTGGTTTTTGTTTACATTTTTTTTTTTTGTTTCTTTTGGAGGCCAGAGACCTTAAAACTGGACTGCCAAACACTTTTTTTTTTTTCTTGGATTTTCTTGTGGGCCGAACTAGCCGTCCGACTCCTTCTGTCTAGGTCTTGGCCAGACTGGTTTTTTGTGTTTTGGCCAAAAAAAGGAAGTTGCTCGTAAAGTGGCGAAAGCCGACCCAGCAACAACGGCAACAACAACACCAACAACAACAGCTATTGCATTTACAACAAACTTTTGTTGCAAAAATAAGAAATGGAGAGGGGGAAAAAATAAATAAAAATTAAAGAAAAATCAACGCTTTCTTTCTGTCTTGGCCCCTTTTTTTTGGATTTCGTTTTTGTTTCTGTTTGTGTTTTTATTTTAAATTTCATTCAATTATATTTTATATTATTTATTTATATTTATTTAAAATATTAGCGCTTGGCATTTTCACTCTTCGGTTTGTTATTTATTTTGCATTTTATTTTTTTTTTGTTGAAGGCACAGCAAAAAAAATGCGTAAACTCGACGTGAAAATATTTATTTTTTGACGGCACACTCACTCGAAAAAAATGGAAAAACAAACCAAATACTGGAACTCGAACTCGAATTGGTACTCGAAATCGTATTAATCAAATGGAATGAGAATATATATACAGATAGATATATAACTCTCGCTTTATAATTTCGCTAGTCAGCGCTTCTCGGTTGCAACTGCAGTTGCAGAGTCTGCAGTTCAGTTTCTTGTTGCGTATCTTTTGTATCTTTGTATCTACATGTGTGTGTGTGTATGAGCTTGATGTGTCTCGTCTGCTAGTATGACCGTACACGACAACGCTCCGCGAGCGACTGACCAGCGGCTGCCGTTCATCCGCTCTAAAGGCATCCGTGCGCCGCGATTTCCGCTGCGATCCGACGGATGCCGTCGAGCCGGCTTCCCATCGAATGCAACATGTTCGAATAGGTTGCAACCGGTATATGGGCAGTGGCTTAGTTACAGAGGGTTTTTAGCAAAGGTTTTAAAGAGGTGGACTGAGAGGATAATTAAATCTTAATATTTTATAAAGAGAATTGTTTAATTAGAATAAAATAAGAACGTAATGGAACGTAATAGAAATGACAGATAAAATGTTTAATGCTTCAAAAATTAAAATAATTTAGGGTTTCTTATTTCTTGGTAATTGTGAAATTATCAATCTAATCATAGAGTTAGCATAAGAATAATAAGATACATTTTATTAAGTGTTTAACGTTTATAAAAACTTGTTTTCAAACCAAGTCTTTTCAGTCTTAATTTTGGTTTTTTATATAAAATATTTAAATTTTATATACTGCAGAGTAAATGTTTGTATATAATAGTATAAAAGTAAACGTTATTTTTATTCGAATAGCAGAAGAGAATCTTTGAGTATACGCCCAATATTTTAAAATAATAATAAAGAAAAATAGATAAGATATGTATATGATAAAATATAATAAAATAGAAAATAGATTGATTGATAAATACAATCAATAAATCAATACAATCAATAATGGTTATTATTAAAAAAAAAAAGGCCCATAATATCTTAAAAGCCCCTTTCATCGCCGCTCTTGTCTTATTTTTGTTCGCGACGCGTGTTGCATGCAACATGTCGCATGTTGTGTTTTTATTTTGGACAATTGTTGCTGCCGTCGAGATGTTGCTACTGCTTCTGGTGCTGATGCTTCTGTTGCTGCAGTGCGTGGTTCTAATTGACAGTTTTCGAGAACAACTTGTTGAGTTTATTGTTATCTTAATAGGGTGCTCATCGCCATCTTGCCCTCTCTTTCGGGCTGCAGCTTTATCTCTTTCCTTCGCCCGCCCGATATTGGAGGATAATTCCCTTTCCTCCGCCCCACTCTAGGGGGAGTATCCTCTCCACCTCCCCGCCACAGCCCTGGGTAAATTGATGATTTGAATATTTACATAAACGCTTGCCAGTCGGACTCTGATTACAATTGAATTTATTATTTAGAGCAACTTAAGTAGCTTATGAGCCCACAAATACACATAAATACATAATACATACATATTTGTATATATTTATGATTGTATGTGTGTCTTATGTGGGAGTGTGTGTGATGTGATTCTTGCTTTCCTTGCCACATGCAACATGCTCGAAGCGAACCTGTTGGGAGTGAAGGTTGCAACCTTATTATCCCTCAACAGGTCCTTTGATTCAAAGGGTCTTTGAGAATTTTTAGCATCCAAAAAAACTTATTTTATATAAGAGAATATTCAGGGATTTTAAATTAAATTTTGCAGTTGTGTTATTTTAATTAAAAGATTTACAAGATTTGTTGAACCTTTTCTTTTAATTTTCAATAAATTCCTTTTTATATTATTTATTTTGTACCCAAAATAAAAAACTGGAAAAATTGAGAAACAAATGGGATTTTACGATGCTTTTTTATCACGTGTTGAACGCAGTCATTCAATTTTAAAAACTAATTATTATTTGAAAAAAATAAACAACCATAAATATTTTGTATGAAAGTGCTCATTTATAGAATTTACGTTCTCACAAATTAATGATTTCTTAGGAAAAACCATACAAATTTGTAACTTCTAAACACAGTACACCCAAAAAAACGAACAAAAAAACAATCATTAAAATAATTAAAATCTAGAAATCAAATACAAATTACGCACTTAATGACTAAACTAAAAAGAATGCATTTACATTCTTGGCAATTTCCGGAAAGAATCATATCCACAAACGAGCAGGTGTTTTAGATTCTTAAATATTTTGTTTTTCTTTTGCTTTATTTTTTTTATTTGGTTTTTGCTTACCTTTTTTTATTTTTTTTTATTTTGCCACCTTTTTTTGCCGATTTGCATTCTTAGAAGTGAAAATTCCGCGGCTTATTTGATAAACGGACAGTGGTGCCTGTGTGGAAAGCTGTTTCCTATATAAAAAATACAGGTACAAATACAGACAAAGATACAGATACAGATACAAATAAAAATACTGAGAAAAGTTGATAAAAAAAAAAAGAACTATAATAGTGTGGAATTCCAGACAAAGGAGATCGCTTTCAGTGATGTCACCGACGGTTACGGATTAAAGCGAAGTAACGAAACGAAACAAACAATTTATCGCATTTACTTTAACAAAAATGTTTGTATTGCTTTCTTATCGCCAAACGTCCCAGGTGAAAAAAATTATATATATAACGAAATAATAAACACATTTTCATTAAAATATTTCGAGGATAAACATCACCAACAAACTGAAGAAAATGAAAAACAGTTGTCGGGCATAATAACAAAAACAAAACAGTTTCCAAATGCACGCGTTGGGTCTTAAGAAATTTTTTTTAAATCAGTCACTGAAATTTAAAGGTCACCGAAGAAAGCGTGACCTGCGTGATCTGTGCAAATTAAATTAAATAAAATATTATTTAAAAACATACAGCGTCTCTTAAGATCGAAAAACGTGTTCAAGAGCAAGGTCTTGCTTAAAAATTCAAAGAGGTTCTTTTTTAATGAAGCTGTTAAGTTTGAAGTATTTATAGAGTATATAAAAGTTTTAAAAAGTTATAAAAGTTTTAGTTTTAATTCTTCTAGTTTGAAATTATTTATTTTTTTATATTAATTTAATTATCAAAAAAATAAAATGGTAATAAGTGTTCTAAACATACATTTAAAACCTCAGGATCAAGTTAACGTAATACCCTTCATTTAATTTTATCTCAATTAAATGAAAAACAGCCCTTAAATTTTATGTAAGTAGTGTTCTTGTTTTAAAAAATGTGACATTAAAAACTTAATAGCTAGAATACCGGAAATGTAAGTCATAGCAAGGGAAATGATATAAGTTTTCATTGCATGTCACAATTAACAAATAAAAAACCTATAAATAACTAACATGAAATAATTATAAAAAATATATAATTTATAGCTTAGGAGAAGGTTTAAAAATAATTTTAATAAAAGCTTTTAGCCAATTCTAAAGCAAAGCTTGAGTTTTCTTTTAAGCTCGAAGCTTTCCAAATTTCAGTTTTCCACCAGTTTTCCCGATAAAACTTCCAAAGCTTATCTACTAAGCTTTTAAAAGAAAATCATTAACAGTAAAAGAACCGTTACAAAGCTTACTGTTAACGGTATTTAAAGCTCCAAAAATTTGTTAACTGGAGACTGTAATCTCTAAAGGCCAGCAATTAAATTAAGATGAATATTCATTTAAGGAAATCGTTTTCTTTATTTAATCTTTATATGCTTAATTCTACAGTAAGTAATCGTTATAATTAGTAATTTTAATTGTGGATTCTTTTTTTTTTTGTTAGCTTTTCTTTAGCTTTCTTTTAGTTTTGTTTTTTTGGCTTTAGTAATAATATGCATTTTAATATATGGCTTAATATCAAACACAATAAAGACAGATAGATAGAGCGAGATCGAGACACACACATTTATTTTCTTTCTTTTTTTAAAAGTTAAGACAACAAAAATTAAAAATATACCTCTTATAAAATGCCAGCTTAAAAGTTTAAAGAAATAATAGAAGATTTATACTGAAAATTAAGATTTTCGTTCTTTGTTTTTAGAGATGAGTTTTAACATTAAACTTTAACTAAAAAGCATTATATTTCACAAACATTTTCTCAGCTGGCACTTCTTTCTTATCCCTTTGAATAGACTATTTCTTAGGAAAACATAAAAGGGTTAAACGAGAACTACGAGTACTTCTAGTATTTTCTCTTTTCATCTTTCAGTTTGTTCCTACAAATTATATATAGAATATAATCTGTAATATATATGTATTCTTGTATATATATATATATTTATTTACTTTTACTTTATTTTTATGTATATTTAAAACTCTTTGTAACATTTAATAAAGTTAAACATTGATTGCTCTTGCGTTGTGACAATAAGTTACTATATAATCCATATATATATAATCAATCTGTCAGTATGTATACATATAGTTCATTTCTATAAATATATCTTTTACATTATTCATTTTTTCTCATATTCATTTACTTTAGCAAGCATATGCCCATTAAATCATTCCATTTCTTTAGTTATGATTATCTTCTTTTATCTTTTTTGTGTTTATGTTTAATAATAAAAAAAATGTTCTAGTTTTCCTTTTATATTTTAGATTATCTTCTCTCTTTCCCTTTTTTTTATTTTCTTCGTCGTCCAGCGACATTTTTTTAAGACAGAATAGGTTTACAATGATCTAAATATATTTAATCCGCACTTTTTCAGCTTTTCTTTAGGATTTCCTTTTTTTAAAATCAAACCATATAAAAGAAAAGGTAAATAAATTATAGCTTTGAAATATTTTTTTATATACAATCTAAAGGATATATCCTTATATATATATTATATATTATTATATTTTTTTTCTATTTCTTATATAAGCAATAACAACATCAAGACTTATATAAAAAAAAAAGAAAACTGCCTTTATAATATCTCTTCAACTTTTCTGTTTTTTTCTCATTTGTTTTCTTAGTTTTCAACCCGGAAATCAGAATTGAAGAAATCTCAAAGTTTTTCAAAGTTTGCATTTAATATCTAAAATTTTTTTTGTTCAAGAGGGAGATTTCTGGACAGGTGGGTAGGGGCGGTCATTTGTTTGTGGGCGTGGCTACTCGAACTAAAGCCTGGCTGACTTGCTGGGCTGGGCAAGCAGCAAAGTCAAGTTCAAAAATAGTTGATTTTTCCATTTTTTTTTATAATTCAACTGCTGGATTTTATTTCCCTTTATTTTTTGGTTCCTCTTAATCTAAAATTTCCCTCTTTCTTCAAAGATTCTTTATTCCTTTTATGTTTATGTTAAATTTTTGTTAGGTACTTGGTATATTTGTCAACTTTTATTTGAATTCGGGGGTTTTGGGGAAGAACAAGCTTGATTCAAAAACACCTGAGCATTTCAACTTGGTAATTGGTAATTGATTTTTGAAAATGATTATTTTTTTTTAATTTCTCTTGATAGTCTATGGGATTGTTGTTTCTTAGTTTATTTTTAAGATTGGTGGTTTTTTCAGGCGGTGGTTCACACAAATCTACACAACATCCAAAAAAATTAGGAGCAACTAGGTCCTAGGTAAATACATAGTTCTCATTTTTTTTCTTAATCTTTTGGTATTTTTTTTTTCAGATTTTTCACTAATTTATCAATTCCTGAATATACAAAACATTTATTTAATTTATCTGTTTTCTTTTCTGCTTATATTGGTTACATCGAAAAGGTTTAGGTTTTTGTGATTCTGATGGAATCTGTAAAGAGGTTGAAGATTATTATTATTTTGTTTCTTGAATCAAACATATATATATATTTTTTTTTGAGAAAATAGGTTGTTTTTTTTTCATTTAAATCAACGATAAATAAGGAAAAAATTAAATTTTAACAACAAAAAATTCAATAGCATACTTTTATGGTTCCTTATGTTAGTTTTCCTTGAAAATCCACAAAAAAACAAAAACTTTATAGTTAAGATTTTCAATTAATTAAAAGATCTAATTAATGGCTTAAGTAGTACTTCCAATACTTGATTGAGATTTCTCTAAATATTCTCCAACACAAACAAACGACTGGCTGGCCTCAATTCGAAACGCATTCTGATCGCCTATAATTAGTTTCGGGCCAGAAGTGAGTGGGCCGGAATGCAAACTAACACGCGTTTCAATTAAGAGCAGTCGCCCACATTAAATTAGCTTTATTGAGCTGCAAAATGATCCAAAGAGAGGGTGGATAGGTGGATGGGAGGGCGTCAGTGGGTTAAATCAGCCAGGGGACAAGCCATTAAAAACACACACCAATGGCCATGGCATTGGCATTGTCATTGATGCAGCTGTTGCTGCAAAATATTACTCACACGCCATGTTGGCCGAAGAGGAAGCTGTGCTCGGTGCGAAGTACGGAGTGAGGTTCAGGGTTGGCATTTTTTTTTTTCTGCCGTCCTTGGACCCCATTTTTCTCCCTACCACCCTACTGCCCACTTTCCACATTTTTTTTCTTGCTTCTCATTTATGTCCTTGAGGCAAAGCTGCATTTCATTATGCATGTGTTTGTGAGCGTGTGCATGGGTTTTTTATGCGCCAGAGCTGGTTTATTAAAAATGCACATAGCCCATTGACAATGCATGAAATGTCAAAAATAAAATGTGAAAGGTACAACAAAAGCAACAAGAACTAGAACAACCAACGAGTATATAAATAAAAAGGCGAAACACTAAAAGTAAACTAAAAGTATTCGGCGGTGGGGTACTTGGTCCAGCGGCTTATACTCTGGATTTCAAGGACCAGCAATTACGAAGGTAAAAATATGTATAAAATTATATTTCATTTAATTGGGAAAATGGGCTTAAATTTTTATGTTTAAGGAAGTGGTTTGACTAAGTTAAGTTACATTTTATTTTACTTACTTTCTTTAATTTTGTGCATCTTCTGTTGGATTTGAAATCAGTAGTATTTTATTTTTCCAAAGAGGATCAGTTTTGGGTGTTTTTTCAATTATTTTCAATATTACTGTTTAATTTTTGTAAATGTGAGTTTAATTTATATAGAGCTTTGTTTGTTTTTTTTGGAATTGAAATATTCATTTTATTCATTTTTTTTTTGTGTGCTTACAATTTTAGGTATTTTGAGATGTTTTTTGGGGAGTGTGTGTCCGAACGCAGGTGTGCTTCGGAAGCTTGATTTTCGTTTCTTCAAATTGTGATGTCTCTGTATCTCTTTGTATTCCTTGTATTCCGTGTTCTAAGATTCTTTTAGGGGTGCTTGTCTTTCTTCAATTCCTTTTCTGTTTGTTATCATTTCTCTTATCAGTTCCTACACTTTTTTTTTTAATTTTCTGTAGTGTATTATTTTTTTCTTTAATATATATATTTTTTTTTTTATCTTGTTATTTGTTTTCGTCGGGACCTTTTAGTTCCAAATTTTTTTCGTGTAACTCCTCTTTTAAGTGTAATATTTTAAGTTCCAATGATTCTCTGTTGTTGTTGTTCTTATACTTCTAATATAATATTATCCAATGATTCTCTGTTGTTGTTAAACTCCTATTATATTTATTTTGTATGCCATTCTCTTTTGGCATTTTGTGGGGCTTTCCTCTTAACCTTCTTCCATACTATTTATGTAGTTTCTTTTTGGTAGTATTTTTTTAAATGAATTTTTTTATATATTTATATTTTTGTTCTTGTGTTCGCCACACCGCCGCCATTTTTCCGTACTTTTGTTTTTCTGCCAATTTTTTCGTTCATCTTGTATTGGTGCGATTTTTTGCAATTTTTTTTTTTTTTTTTTGGTGGGGTTGGGGGGGGGAGGTCGGCGAATTTTTTCTGTTTGCTCCAAACGGTGGTTTTTGCGGTTTGTTTGTTTTCTTTGTGGGGGCAGCCGCGAAAAGCAATTTCCCGGCAGGAAGAAGCGGAAGTGGCGGTGCAAACGATGGTGAAAGCGGAAGAAGGTTAAAGGTAAAGCGTGTGAGTGGGGAACTGATAATAGAGATGTCCTGCGTATTCCAATTTTTCTTGTTGTCTTCCTAGGAATACGCAGTCCAATTGTATCTTCTTTTTTTGTCGTTTTTCTATCCATTTTTTTCCTTTTGTTTCAATTGCTCAGAAGTGTGTTTTGAGTTCTTCAGTTGCCGATCTCGTTCCGTAATTTCCTCTTTGGCATTTTTCCTCATTCTCGCCGAAACAAGTCCAAAAGCAAAAAAGAAATGTCCGTAACGAAATTCAAACAATCTCCTTCCAGTACATCCTTTTTTTTTCCCCCCCCCATATCGGTCCCCACTATCTTTTGGGATTATCCTTGTTGCGTCGCTTATGTCTGGACCGGAACGTTGCTGTCGGCCTCCTGCAACACGGGCGCTGTCCAGACGCCGCTGCCGCTGCGTGTCTTGCGCTGTTGCACGATTCCGTCCATGATGTCCAGCTGCAAGTTATGGATGCTGCCGCGATGGTCCGTCAGCGGTGGTCCGGCAATTCCGCTACCACGGCGGCTTCCACTGCAATAATAAAGGAAAGTATTTTTAAAACAATAAAAAAAAATAAAAGTTAGTGCACTACCAACAGTGCGGATACTTAATATTTAAGAAAATATTTGAAACCTATACCAAGTCCAAAATGCTCTACTAAAGTGTATACAAAAACGTAGAAAAACCCAAAAATGGGAAAATTACTTGAGAAAATTGCAAAAGAAAGGAAAAAGGAATTGCACCGGAAAATTGCAGTTTCCGTAGCCATTTTATAGCAAAAAGGGAAAAGTAACCACATCAATCAATTTTTTGTTGTTGTACTTTTCGGAAGCTTGACCAGCATATTTTTCCAAATTGCAAGAATTTTTTGGTTCTGGTTTTAAAGCTTTAATTTTAATTCAAAAATATTTATTTAAATGTTTGTGGAAGGTTCATCATTATAAGAATCCTTTCAAATTTATTCAGAATATTAATATCTTACTTTCTTGCTTTTAAGAGCATTTCTAATGAGCTTTAAAATATTTATGTCATTCCTGTTAACCTTTAATGGGCTAGATTATGGTTTTTGAGGGAAAAGTCTGAAGGCTGAAACCTGAAATCTAAAATCCTCCTTCAGAACTTCAATGAGAAACGATAGTAAGTGGTTGATGGTTGTGCGGTTATCGCTTTAGCATAAATTATACGCCCCGTTGGCCCACCAACTCTCTTTCCATCCTATCTCTATCTGGGTATACCCATCTCTCTCATTGTCACTGTTGCTATCTCTGTCTATGCAGAGATGCTTCATCTCTATTTCCATCTCCATTTGAGGCAAAGTTGGGCTCGTAAAGTGCGTTGGGCGTTTAATGGACACGCGACACGGGGGAAATTGTCTGCCTGGCTTGGTGGGTCTATGTAGTGGGTCTAGTGGGTGTAGTGGGTGGCTGGGCAACAATTTAAATGGCCACCAAGGGCCCTGAAGAGAGAACTGGGACAAAGTCAGGGCCAAAAGCAATGTGGTTAAGTCTAGAATTTGGTACAAAAATACCAACTGGATATACACTTACTCTCGGAAATCTTTTCTAATTTAAGTAAAAAAAAAAACAATTTCAATATCTTAAAAATCCTTTAAATATCCTCCCAATATCCTTAAATCGTTCTATTATTTCGCCTATTATTTGATGACTTTGACCGAAAAAAATACCTAACGTTTATGACAATCTTATTATGCCTGCTAGCTATGCGGCCACGCCCACATTTTCCTCACTGAATTGCCACCTTCATTTCAGTTTAGGCCACGCCCCCTCTGCCCTATTAACCAGAAACGCCTCCCGGGCCATTAGAGTATCAAAATGTTGCTGTCACAGCACAAAAGCTTGCCAACACCCTGCGGCACAATTCAATTAGGCCCAGTAGTACGTAGAGTCGCAGATAGGAAAAGGCCAGAAGGTATCTAGGATATTACACTGTGAAAAAATAATACCAATATCTACTTCTAAATGATTTCTAACCACAACCATGTAACATCTTCTTTCTAGTCCTACGATGTCTAGATTGCCTCTAGTCTTTATGAAAATTGAAAGACTTCTACAACATACCATAGGGTTTTGTTAAGAAAGGGCCTACTTTCGCGTTATTTGGCTTCTTTTATTATATTTTATATAGTTTAGTGTAGTATATACTATTCTATTCTAATATTTAATATAGAATCTATAGAATTTGTATTATATTTTATCCTATTGACAGTTGTATCTATTACCTATCGATAGTAGCTGTCAGAAAAAAATACTTGAATAGCTTTTTGTTATTTTAGTATTTTAAATTATTATTCTTTCAAAAAAAAATACTAATAATAAAAAATATCCTAGTAGGCTCTGTGAAATCTGCTGTCATTTTAATAGCTGTAATTTTTTTTTCATGAAAAAAATATATAAATTCATGAAAAAAAAATATATAAATTCATGAAAAAAAAAAATATATAAATTCGTGAAAAAAAAAATATATAAATTCATGAAAAAAAAATATTTAAAAACTAAATAAAAACCTCTAATTTGCTTCAAGTGCATGGAAAAGGCAAAAAAAAGAAATAACAGGGACCTCGACTTCTTCCGGTTGGCTAATGGCACCGGAAACGACTTTCCCTACCGCATTTTTAGGTTCATGCTTGGTTTTTAGTTTTTTTTTTTTGTTTTGTGGTGCGTGTATTTTTTTTTATATAGAAGGATAATGAGATTATTTACCTGAATGAAACACCGGAAATAGACTCGCGGCGATTGCGGCCGAAGAGCGTGGGCGGTACAGCCGAAATGGTGACCACCGAGTGACGTCGTCCGCCGGCCGTCGGATTGGCCTTCTGGGAGAGAGTTGCTAGGAACTCGACCTCCTTGGGACTGAGACCGCCGGTCTCGCCACCGACCTCCGATAGGCGACGCACCTGGCTGGCGGTGATGCCCTCGGTGATCTGGAGCGAGGGCAGCGAGTGCTTCCGGCGCTGCTGCATGTCCGGAAACGGGCAGAGCAGGTACGGATTCACCGGCGAGTCCGGCTCCGAGTCGTCGCTGTTCGTGCGCTTAGTACCGCCGGTCGCATTTGGGTCGCATCCGCCAGCAGCTCCCTCCAGCTCGTCGCCGTCCTCAGCCGTGTGCGATTCCTCGACGACAATCAGCGGCTCCTGGGTGCTCAGGTTGAAGACGGGCGTAAACGACGAGCGACGCATCTTGGAAAGATATACTCTATCGTATCTGCAAGGTAAAAGAAGTTCCATTTTTTTTTTGGTTATTCACTAGTTTTTTTTTGTCCACTTATTATTTTTTTGACTTAGTTTTTTTTTGTCTCAATTATTAAAATTTAGAAAATTATTAAAACACTGAATTGTGCCCGAAACATGTTAATTGCACGGAGCACGAAATAAAACTGAGGATATATCCCAAATTTCCGGCCTTTTATACCCAAAGGATTTCAAGGCTAATACGATTGAAAAATTTGTGAAATAAAAGCCTAGACAACGCAGTGTGACCTTAAAAATCCTGCCTAAAGATTATTCTTTAAAAATGACTTGGTCACATTCAAAATCCTCAATTAAAACATGTTCACAATATAAAGTTTAGTACGACCTTTTAAAAATTGTTTATATTTCTGATTAAAAAACACATTTCCATATTTTTATAACAAAAGCTTTAAGAAGTTTGTCTTTAAAACTGAAAATGGTCCAAACTTTGCACTCCACTTTATATACACCAATGGAACCCAAATAATAATTACAAAATTACACATACTCTAGTAAATAAGAAACCTTTTCACATTTAAAAACCTTTAATACCCCAAAGATGTTTTAAAATATTCATATTCCCTCATAAAAACCAAAATATTAACAAAAAAGTTTTAGTGTGACCTCTATTACACAAAAAAGAAGCTAGAGTGAGCTTTTATTTTACATGAGACTTACAGAAACTCAAACAAACTAACTAATTTCAATTTACTTTTGTGCCGAAATCGCTGTTATTTACTCAAGCCAAAGATAAATTAAAAAAAAAAATAGAATTAAAAGAACGTTCCGTTTTCGTTCAAGTGTAGTTAAATATTTCTATAGAAATCGCAAAAGTGCTGTTGACATTTTGCGGTCACTGTGCACAGGCGGCAACTTTTCAGCAATCAAATTCGGTAAGCAAAAATTTTAAATCAACTGCAAAACTTTGCCACAGCTGAGCTTGATTTTTGCGGCTAGGTCGACAACTTTTGTTTACTTTGATTGTTCTCCGCACCAGGAGGACCTCTCCACGGAGGCGTTGTGTAAATTTTTTTTTATATTTTTCGATGAGATGCACAAAAAAAAATAAATTAAAAAGAGGAGGACAAAATTCTGAAACCAATTTGTCGCTCTATAAAGCCCAATGGAATTAATATTTGTTTCTCATTTATTCAATTCAATTATAATTTACTTTCTCACGATTAATATCTGATTCATTTTACAGCGGCTATATAGTTGATTAAATCGAATTTATTAAAGCTTAAATGTTCATTTTTATAACTCTGTCAATGCCAGTGTTCGATCCACACACGACAAGCGGATTATACGAATTTAATTGTAATTAATTAACTGTAACTTGTAAACACTAATGAGATTGATACGAAGCAGTCATGAACCAGACAACCGGCCCTATATATATAGAGTAATCATTTTATTTCAATTCATTAAAAATAAATATCGGATGCTTGGAATATTAAAAATGTTTTTGATATACGGCCTGGGAATATTTATTAGTTTGTTTGGAGTTTCAAAGGCAGTTAACATGCCATCTACTGAGGTGAGTTATTTTATGAAAACCCTTTAGAAAGTTTTTTATGAAAACCCTTTAGAAATCTTGGACTTATACATTGGAATCGGTTAAAATGGACACGGCCAATAAGGACACTGCCTATGGGAATATGCGCATCGATCGAATTGAACGCGGAGAGTTCGGATTGAGTGGTAATCTGACATTACTAATAGATGTAACGCCGGATATGGAAGTGGAGGTCCTGTTGTATCGCAGCACTGATAGCGGCGCCAATTACAAAATCCAACCGTATTCATTGCCACGTCAGGGCGTTTTCGATGCCATTAATAATTTTTACAAGGACATGATTATGCCGAGTGCCGTTAATTGCTCCAATTTACCGCAATTCGAGGACAAGCTAACAGAGTTGCCGGCCCAAAAGTTCCATTTCGAAAAGTGCCAGGTGAGCACCGACCGTTTTCCGCAACATATGCCAGAAGGTTTCAACAAAATAGTGTTTCAAACTTACGGTGCAATTGATCTCAGTGCCGAAATTGTCGTGCAAATTGAGAACAAATCATTTTAAACAAAAATAACCATCAACTATTTTTTTTCTTTATTTTAAATATATAATAAAATATTAAATAAAGCATTGAAAGAGCAAACAAATTTAGGTATTTAATTTAACAACCTTCAGTGAGACAACCTTAGTGAGACTTGAATCTAAGAAATAGACTAAAAAGTGTTCACATTTTCCCTTTTTTCATCCCCAAACACTGTATAAAATCAAAGCCCACAATGTTAGCTTGTAATTTAAAAACAAAGTCATAAACAAAGGCCACAGAAAAATGATTAATTATGTGTGGAAAGGTGGACACGATAGGTTGACATTCTTTGTTGTTAATTGGCAAACATTGTTGTATCAATTCTGCCATAGTTACCTTGTTTTATGTATATTTTAAAAGCAAAAAATTGCGAAACCCAATACATTGTTCATCTTTTCACAATTTCCATCCACTTTACCTTCCATCATGGTATTTTTTTCCCATTTTTTTTGTTTCACCCACTTTCCATCCACATTATTCCCCACTCGCGTTTTAATTAGCCTTTGTGCATTATAATTACGCCGCATTGCAGTCCGTGGGAATTTGCACAGCGACTGTCCTTTGGGATCCTCGTTTTTGCGCCAGGTAGCACCAGAGGCATAACCATAACCAGAAAATCCCCAAAAAGTAAAATAAAAAAATCTTACCAAAAAAATGTCTCAATTAATTGAATTGAATAACAAAAAGAAATGAAGAGAAAAAATCATTAACTAAATAACGGGGTTTTTTCCCGTACAAGTTAAACCCTTTCTAGGTCGAAGAACAATAGAAAAGAAAAAAGGTAAGGTAACACCCTCTTTTTTTCTGAATACCTTTCGGGACATTGCGCATACGCCGCGTGGGCCAAAGCCGATGTGAAATGTGCCGAAAATGTAAATGAAATTGTTATTAAGCATTAGGCACATCAGAATCACAAAAGGGAAAAGATTTTTCTTTTTTTTTTTTTGTTGGCATCCGGACGAGTGAGTCCTGGCAGAACGAGTGAGTGTTCGTGTGTGAGCAACACGACGCCAGCTTAATTCTCAGCTTAAGGACCAGAGATGAGAGTGTCCTGTCTAGAAGTTAAAAATGGCTCTGCATTTTTATCGCAGGATTAATGATGCAAATATATATTCTGCTTTTTTCACTACAAAATGAATAAAGTGTTTTCTTTAGATTCTTTGAAATAATAAGCTTTTTGACATTAAAATAATAATATATTATTTTGAATATTTTATTTATATTATAATATTTTCTTACTATTTTTTGGCATCACTTTTGGTTATGAGAGTCAGACCCTAACTGACTTTACTGGCGCCATGGAACTGCCAATTGAATTGGCCAACACACACATATACACATACGTGGCTGAAACTTACTTTTCTGTGTGTGTGTGTGTGTGTGTGACTTTGGCCAATGCCAAAAATGCCAATAATGAGCGTCTATTAATAGCCATCGACGACAAAAACAACTGGAAACGATTTGCGGCTATTTCATACGGGGATTTTGGGTATCGGGTTCAACCTGGGGCCTCCTCAATCAACAGGATAGTGAACAGCATGTAATTAGCAAAAGAGCTAACACATACACATCCAGATACGCACACATACACCAACATAATCCCAACAGTAAACAACAAAAGGAATTTCCCACAAAAAAAAAAAAAAAAACAGAAAAACAGACAACAAAAACTGAAACGCCTCATTTAAATTTCTCTTTTGGCTTCCTCGCGATGAAAATGAAAATTGACAAGCCACTCCACTTTTCCAGCTACCCCTCTCTCTCACTCCAGCTACCCCACATTCTCTCTTTCTAACCCCATATAGCCTACTCTTTCCAAACCAAAAAGAGACGGATAGCGAAACTGTGTAATCCCCGGGCCAAAAACTCAAATCGTTTTTATTTCTCGTTCACTGTTTTGTTAAGTACTCGTCGCTTTGAGCCAAATTTTAGACCCAAAGGTATTTGAGAAGGTATACGGTACAAGATGGTGGAATTGAGAGGTAAGTTTAAAAAGTTGGATGAATTTAAAGGAAATTTAAGGTAATTGAATTGTTATATTGAGTAGATTTAACTGATTAAACATAAGATATGGGAGAACTTGTTGCATAAAATCGTAAAATAAGAATGTTTTCAACGTTGGATAAAAAAGAAAATGGATAGTAAAGTTTTTCCACCATACATATATACATGATACCTGGTACTTCCCTAATAAGTCCTGTAATATAATAGGAATTAACAGATAAATTCAATAAAAATTAAAAGGTAAAAATACAAACTCGAAAATAACGATAAAAGGTTAAATTGTACCGAAAACTTAACACCGAAATATCAATAATTAAAAAACGCCTGAAACTAATACCAATTAAAATAAAATAATGCCCTAAAAACTCCTAATTTTTATTTTCCAATTGATGGAATTTTTTTCAATTAAAACCTCGTTAAATACTAGTTACAATAATTTCATTTAAAACTCAACAAATTCAGGGACTTACTTTCAGCCTTAAAACCAACCACTAGAAAAAAATGTAAAATAACGGATTTATTATGTATTTAAATAACATTACCAATCCAAACAACAGTTCAGCAGTCTTGGGCACTTGAAATAAAAATAAAATAAATTCCCCAGCAATCTGGTGACATTTTTATATATATATTTATATATATATATAAATTTTTTTTTTGGGAGGCTGTTAGTCAATTTGCGTGGCACTCAAACATTTAAATTTGATTCATCGAGGAAAAACGGCAAGCGGGGTCTACATTGGATTGTAAACTCAATCAACTTCAAAATGGTTTAATTAGAACCGAACAGGATGAACAGGACCTGAAGGGGGGAGGGATGGGTGGATGGGCGTGGTGGGGTGTGGTGGGATGTGGGATGGCCTATTGGAAACGTGACCCTTGAATGTGACATCCCCGACTCGCCCTACTTCCCAAGGGGACCCAAAAATATTCAGATAGGCGATACGGTCAATCAGACACGAAACACCCAAATCAGACCTCGATCCCCAGGCTATTCCCTGTGCCCTAACAGTTTCTGCACTTGGAGAAATATTTTGGTATTTAAAACTTTTAATATTTTAATATATTTATGTTTAAAATTAATGTTGAAAAGTATAAGTAAGCCTTAAAGGACTTAAAGCTAGCAAAGATGTTAAATATATTTTTAAATGTATTCACAAGTTAAAAATTTTGGTTTATCGACCTTAGAAGACAAAAATAAACAATTTTTATGAAAAATATATACTGTCTCAAACTCAGACATTTTTTCCTCAGTGCACCAACCCCAAAAAAGCCTGTCTATATTTACAAAAGCCGACTGTTTTGAGTCTGTCTACCGAAAAGCGTATTTCAATTTAAATTTATTTTTATTACATTTAAGCGGATTTTCAATGGGCCAAGCGACCAAAAAAGCGGTATCCACCTACCCAGACCTCCCCTTAACCACAGAGAGAGAAAAAAAAATGGAATACAAATAATTACTGTGACAAATATTTAAGAATAGCCTTGCGGAGGATTTTGAAAACCACTTGAGCGGTCAGCCTTTATTCAAAAGGACACAAACCAATAAAAAAGGTTAGAAAAATATTAATAGGACAAGTTTCATTATAATTACATTGCATAATAATTATTTTATTTTGTCGATTTAACTGCTGGGTAATTGCCATTAAAAGAACACAATAACACTGACCATTTAGCATATGTTATACCAAATAAATAATAAAAGTTTCAATGGCCAATTATTCCAGGCCAGTTACTCGATAAATGTCATTTGATAAACGGAGCATATTATTGTATGAATACACAATAAATGTAAACAGAGTCTTCTCAAAAAGCCACATTGCATTTGACAATCTATAAATAAAATATACATATTTGCGGGGGAGGGAAAAAATGTCTAAAGAATAGAAATCACATTGTTGCATTGATTGAGATAGATGGCCCAAATAGAATCTGTTTTCTGGCCAAAAAAAAAAACCAAAAACAGAAGAAAAATGTATGGTTATAAGCAATATAAACAAGACTATGAATTCTATGGCCGACTGCAATAAATCTAAATTGAATGACAATGCCTGAGAGAGAGAGAGTTCACTTGTCAAAAGGTTCAGTAGGGTCGCTAGCCCGAAAAAAAACGGTTAAATCTGAAACAGGTGGCTGGATTCATTTATTGACTTGTTGCTTTAAAGCACTTGAGTAAAAACACTGGAAAAATTATTATTTTGTATAGACTTAAGTTTGTTTAGACTTCTTTAGAGATTTGAAATCTCTTATTTGAAAGCCTAAAAGTATGCAATTAAAATACCAACTTTTAGGCTCACAGTTCTTGGGAATTTCTGTAGTGTATATTTCTCTAATAAAAATGATAAATTAGACTCTTCAAATTTCATATCTTCATCTAACAACCGTCCCAAAACAATTTGCTGAATCCAACAAAACCAAAAAAAACGCAGAAATGAAATTCCATGGCTATGACATTAGACCCCCGTCATGTCAAGACGGAAGTGGCAACTCAATAAGGCCAAATTCCTCGGGACAACAAACGGATGATGTCCTTGCCCCATCTCTGTATTTTTTTGTTGTTTTTGTATTTTGTTGTCCTGCTAATAAATGATGAAGCAATGATTTTGTGTGATTGTCGGCACGTGATGGCGCTGCAAATGCTTCTGGAAAAGTGTGTGCAAAAATCATAAATGCGGAATGAAAATTCCACAGCCAGCATAAAAAAAAAACATTTTCATCATGTCCTTTTCATTTTCAACCCCATATTTTCAATTTTGAGTGCGAATGAGTAGGAAATGTTCTCGACATTTATTGATTTCAATTGAAGGTGGCAAAAAAAAAATGAAATAAAATGTCAAATGTTTGCCTAATATGAACTCGAGTTGAAGAGCGGAAAGAAATCCCTTTTTTTGTATATATTTTGGTAGAAGTGTGTTTTTTGGCTATTTATACCCTGTACTATTAAAAGGGAGAGGTTGTTGGTTAAATATAGTATAGGATACTTTTTTGGGCTGATTTTGGGAGATTTATAAAAAGGATTCTTAAATGTCTATAAACCCTGTAAAAAGAATATATGCCTTGACGCCTTCTTTTAGAAAATGTTTAAAAGAAATCCCTTAACTTTCCAGTCATTAAAAATCTACCAAAGCCTAAAAGGAAGCACCTTTTAAAGTGTTTCCCAAAAATCTCCCTGAAGTTTTGAAATATTTCTCATTCTTTTTCCATTTTTCTTGTTTCATGCCTAATAAATTCCCATAAATTCCTATTCCAAGAATAAAACTTGAGCCAACTTGCACAATAAACGGTATTGTTAGTTTCCCCCCCAGCTTTTTCCCAGTAATTCTTGGCAATTTTTCCGATACCAACGAGAACATAAAATACCAAGAAGTGACTGAAACCATTTTGAAATCAATTTCTGGAGGTCTGAGGGCAATTTCTGGAGCATTAAAAGCAGGAAAGCTTATGCCAGCCGGAAGTGCAGGACTTTAAAAGGGTCAAAATGGGATCCGAAAGTCTAGGTTCGCAGCGAAGAGGACAACTTCCGGTTGATATATGTACATGTATATGTGTGTATGTGGGTAAGTGAGTAAGTGAGTAGAAAGGGGCTTATTGTGGCATGATTGAACCGAAGTGAAGCAAACCTAAATGGTTGCCACACAGAGACTCCTACGGTCTCTGGACTCCTCTAGAGTCCGGGGGTCGGACTGAGTATTTAATCTCGGATTAGAAGAAAAGTTTCTGCCTCCGCAGGACTCTTGTAATGAGTTGTGAGCCCAGCCAGGACCTCTCTCCATCACACTCTTGCCACTCTTGAGGCTTTACAATGACTTTGACGGAGGCGGTTCTTGGGGCGGCGAAAGACACAAAACACCCAACTTTTTGGTCCTGATTCAGATTCTGGGCTGCAAGTTATTTGAGTGCGAAAAGTTTTTCGTTTATCTCGCGAACTTGTGCAGTTTTTAGGGGTTTTTGTTGTGGATTTCTTTAATTATTATTCTGAAATTGGGGAAAAACTACAAAATCGAATCGAATTCTCGACCATCTGTCACATCAATTTCAATTAGAAAGGCTGCCAAGCAATTTGCTTTCACTGACAACTCTTTGGTTCTGTCACAGAAAATATCTAAATAGAAATTTCTTTATAAAATTTGGTCCTTTTCTTGTTGGCCTACAATCCATCAATCACCAGGCACTTGTTATTTAAATTACCATCATCAATCATGGCTGTAGATTTTTAAATTTGTGTGCTAAGTAATGCTTTTATTATATATAAGAATTGCTTAGCCAATTATTTAAAAAAAAATATATATATATTATATTTATTCGGGAGTTGGAGATTTCATTTTTGATTCTTATTTCGGAGCAGAAGTCTTTCTTTGGTTGATCCAAGATGGTACTTCATCCGAGTCTAATGGTCCCAGGGAAGCCAATCGTCGTGACCTGCGGACCGGCACAGCACTTGACGCTACCGAAAAACGACGCTTCTTTGGAGTGGCTGGTTTCAAAAAAAAATCATCGTCAGTCGCCACCGGAGCATCCACAGGATCGTCTTCTGCATAGATATCCACAACCGTATTCACTTCTTCCTGACCCTCCTCACCGACCGTCGGCAAATCGCGAAACATATTCGTGTTCTGCTCATTATACATAGTCTCCCCAGCACTACGGAAATCGGTATAAAGGCCGTCGCGAACAAATCCTAATGAAAAAAGATTTATATTTGCAATGAAATGTTACCATTAGATAGCTAAAGTAACCCACTTTCTGCCAGTTCCATGAACCCATCATAGAATCGAGAGCCCCATAGGAGATCCAGGTCGTCGGAAAGTTCTCCACTAGACTCCCTAGTAGGCGGGACCTCAGGCACCTCCTTATTAGTCCATTCGTTATTCTCACTATCAGACATTTTTAGTTTTTTAATGGTTTTTTCTTTTTTTTTCTTCACAAGACACTCTGCTTTCAGTCGCTGTCAAATGCACGTGACTTTTGTGACAATCGGCACTACCAGTGGTAGAAAATTTTAGAGTTTTTAAAGGGCTTTCTTCCAACACTATTCGATTAGTGTTGGGCTGTGAGGTTACTCTACTGTTTTTAGGTGCAAGGCACATTTTTTTGGGCCTATATTGTATTATATTTAGAGAAATAATTATTTAAAGAGAGGTATATTTTTTTTGGAGCTCTAGGCTCCAAATATGATCTTATGATATGAGTAGCTTTAAATAAAATTCCAATCTCCTTGGTGGAAACCCTATTTTTAAAAAACCGATATAAAAACCGATTACTCCGCCCTAGTTGGCTTTGACTTTTCTTTTAAATTTTTTCAACCAAAAAAAAAAATAAATAAAACCTAAAAATTCTATATAAGTCCATAAATAGCTCTTTGTAATCCAATAAAGAAATGGAAATGGAAATTGTAGCTTAATTCCACTTTGAAGTGTTGGCTGTCGCCTTGCATCCATTTCAATACAATTCGATTTTGAAAATATTATTTGATGATGATTGTTCCACTCATTAGATGAGACATTTGCGGAACCTTTTAGCTCAGGGTTCCGGGTTTCCCTTTTGCATTTCCCATTTTCCAGCTCACCATTTTCCCGTTTTCATTTCAGTGGCTTTCCCTTTTCTTTCCTTATTTCGTTTCTTGTTGGTTTTTGTTTTGTTTTTTATGGGGCCATTGTCAATTTACAATTTGGCTTTGACATTGGTCCTCATTTGAGTAAATCAAATGGTTGTCGTAAATTCACCTCCCTTTTGCTGATCCTGCGAATCCTGGTCGGAGATTCGTTGTCCTCTTTATGGCCACCATATAAATCCTATTTTGTTTATCTTAATTTATCCTAATACGAATTGCATCTTTTTTTTCGTTTTTCTTCCACAAATCGATAAACTTTTCCGTTTTATTTGAATTTTTCATTAATTTCTGCTTTAACAATGAATATGTAGAGGTAGAAAAAATCGAAGAAAAAAAAAGGAATAAAATATTGTTGTCCTGAGACGTATTTTTGTGTTGGTTCGCCCAGTATTATTGATTATTTTTTTCTTCATGTGTCGCCCGAGGGAGAAAAGCAAGTTAAGGCCGCCTAATCCCAGAGCCCAAGAGCCAATATGAATTTATGTACACACAGAAAAAAATAGATCTAAAAATACAATGGTAGTAGGCAACTTTTTAGGTAAAGAAAGGCAGTACATAAATATTTGTTTTAAAACAAGTCTTAAAAATACCCTTCAAATTTCTCAAAATAATAAAAAATATTCTTTCTGTGCAAGAGCCGTGAAAGCGAACCATACATATTGATATGCTCAAAGTGAATATTAATTTCAATTTGAATCGAGAAATTCAATTGAAAAAGCTCGCGCCAAGCCAAAATGAAAAGAAAAGGCTCCACAGACAGACCGAGAGCGTCGAGCGAATGAGTCTCTACCTTCGTTTATTTCCGAGTGACTTTCAAGAGCCTTCCAATTCCATTTCCAATTTTCAATTCTTCTCTTTTTTTTTAAGTTTTTTTTTCTTAGATTTATTTTTTGTTATGCTTAGGAAAATTTTAATTTTGGCGGAAAACGACTGGCAGCACCTTTTGAAAAACAGGAAATTGCTCAAATTGAATTCAGTGATTTCCTCCACACATTTCCCTTCACAGTTTTTAGGGTTTTTCTCTTTTTTTTTATTTTTGTGGATAGCTTCGGCTAAGCTCTCGTTTTTATTTGTGCTGGACTTTCTGGTCCTTTCGCCCTGTCGAGATTTTCCGAGCCGTGCATCCTGCGGCATTCTCAAGTGCATTTTAATGGATTTTTAGTTTTTTGACAGTCGAGGCATAGAAATGTGCGAATGCAAATTGCAAGGGAAAAGAGAGTTCAGAGATGATGGGCTTTTCAACTTTAAACATTTTCAACTAATGGATTTTGATAGGAATTTTATAGAAAAGTATCAAGGTTTGCTAAAAACCTTTAATTTTAAAGAGAACTCCATATAGAATCAAAAAAAATACATAAATAAGCTTTTTTGTAATAAAATGTCCTTAAATCAAGATATATAGAGTTCCCATAACATAATACAACTCCCCGAGCCCATTTAAAGTCAATTTGAAGTCAAGAAATTTCCATAGAAATCATCAACGCCTAACATGGCGTATACTTAATGGCCAATTGCTCTCAGAGACCTCAACAGAAAATAGGTCCCATACCATTTACATGACTTCTTCTTTTCAACCCTTTCGGTCTCTAAGCCTTTGCAGGACACCAACAGACCAAAAAAAAAAGCAACGAAATTTTTTTTTTTGCTAATTCAAGGACAGAGCTAAAGGAAGAGATTTTCCAGAAGCTGTTGCTTTTGCTTTTTCCTTGCTTATGCTGTGCTTTTGCTTTGCTTTTGCGCCGCCAACGACACATCGTTATCCCTAATGCTTGATGGCTTGAATAAAAGCTTAATAAATATTGCGAGGCCCAAGTTGTGTGTTTTTTTTTGTTTTTTGGTTCGAAGGACAGGCCATGACGAAAAGGACGAAAGCGAGGACGAAAACAGCGCCAGGCGAGGACGTCGTCCTTACTCTTTACAGCCTCTTGTTGCTTTCTCCGGGTGTCCTTTCGCTGACAGCCCAAAATGAAGATGTTAGGGGTATTTATAACGAGTATAGAGTATACCCATGGATTTTTTTGATAAAATTTTAAAATTTACGGATCCCATCAGGAAAAATGGACAAAAAATCTAAAAAATATTTTGTCTCGGGATTTTGATGCAGGATGGTGGCAAATCGATCCAGAAATCGTTTAAGGTACTCCGCTTGAGAATCGGATCAGAATTGGGGAAGATATGGCCATCCCTGTTGGTCATAGAGGGGAAAACCCCATTTTCAAGGGATCCCAGGAAAAATCTCAGGAAAAATAAACAAAAAATCTAAAAAATATTTTGTCTCGGGATTTTGATGCAGAATGGTGGCAAATCGATCCAGAAATCGTTTAAGGTACTCCGCTTGAGAATCAGATAAGAATTGGGGAAGATATGGAAATCGCAGTGGACCCCATAGGGGAAACCGCATTTTCAGGGGCTCCCATCAGGAAAAATGGACAAAAAATCTAAAATATATTTTGTCTACGAAATTTGATGCAGAATGGTGGCAAATCGATCCAGAAATCGTTTAAGGTACTCAGCTTGAGAATCGGATAAGAATTGGGGAAGATATGGATATCGCAGTGGACCCCATAGGAGAAACCGCATTTTCAGGGGCTCCCATCAGGAAAAATGGACAAAAAATCTAAAAAATAATTTGTATCAGGATTTTGATGCAGAAGGGTGGCAAATCGATCCAGAAATCGTTTAAGGTACTCCGCTTGAGAATCAGATAAGAATTGGGGAAGATATGGAAATCGCAGTGGACCCCATAGGGGAAACCGCATTTTCAGGGGCTCCCATCAGGAAAAATGGACAAAAAATCTAAAATATATTTTGTCTACGAAATTTGATGCAGAATGGTGGCAAATCGATCCAGAAATCGTTTAAGGTACTCCGCTTGAGAATCGGATAAGAATTGGGGAATATATGGACGTCGCAGTGGTCTTCATAGGGGAAAACCGCATTTTCATGGGCTCCCATCAGGAAAAATGGACAAAAAATCTAAAATATATTTTGTCTACGGAATTTGATGCAGAATGGTGGCAAATCGATCCAGAAATCGTTTAAGGTACTCAGCTTGAGAATCGGATAAGAATTGGGGAAGATATGGATATCGCAGTGGACCCCATAGGAGAAACCGCATTTTCAGGGGCTCCCATCAGGAAAAATGGACAAAAAATCTAAAATATATTTTGTCTACGGAATTTGATGCAGAATGGTGGCAAATCGATCCAGAAATCGTTTAAGGTACTCAGCTTGAGAATCGGATAAGAATTGGGGAAGATATGGATATCGCAGTGGACCCCATAGGGGAAAACCGCATTTTCAAGGGCTCCCATAAGGAAAAATGGACATAAGGAAAAATGGACAAAAAATATAAAAAATATTTTGTATCAGGATTTTGATGCAGAATGGTGGCAAATCGATCCAGAAATCGTTTAAGGTACTCCGCTTGAGAATCGGATAAGAATTGGGGAATATATGGACGTCGCAGTGGTCTTCATAGGGGAAAACCGCATTTTCATGGGCTCCCATCAGGAAAAATGGACAAAAAATCTAAAATATATTTTGTCTACGGAATTTGATGCAGAATGGTGGCAAATCGATCCAGAAATCGTTTAAGGTACTCAGCTTGAGAATCGGATAAGAATTGGGGAAGATATGGATATCGCAGTGGACCCCATAGGGGAAAACCGCATTTTCAGGGGCTCCCATCAGGAAAAATGGACAAAAAATCTAAAAAATAATTTGTATCAGGATTTTGATGCAGAAGGGTGGCAAATCGATCCAGAAATCGTTTAAGGTACTCCGCTTGAGAATCAGATAAGAATTGGGGAAGATATGGAAATCGCAGTGGACCCCATAGGGGAAACCGCATTTTCAGGGGCTCCCATCAGGAAAAATGGACAAAAAATCTAAAATATATTTTGTCTACGGAATTTGATGCAGAATGGTGGCAAATCGATCCAGAAATCGTTTAAGGTACTCAGCTTGAGAATCGGATAAGAATTGGGGAAGATATGGATATCGCAGTGGACCCCATAGGAGAAACCGCATTTTCAGGGGCTCCCATCAGGAAAAATGGACAAAAAATCTAAAATATATTTTGTCTACGGAATTTGATGCAGAATGGTGGCAAATCGATCCAGAAATCGTTTAAGGTACTCAGCTTGAGAATCGGATAAGAATTGGGGAAGATATGGATATCGCAGTGGACCCCATAGGGGAAAACCGCATTTTCAAGGGCTCCCATAAGGAAAAATGGACATAAGGAAAAATGGACAAAAATATAAAAATATTTTGTATCAGGATTTTGATGCAGAATGGTGGCAAATCGATCCAGAAATCGTTTAAGGTACTCCGCTTGAGAATCGGA